CGGAAAATGGCTGCGGACCACGTGTCAGGGGCGGAAAATGGCCGCGGACCACGTGTCAGGGGTGGAAACTGGCCGCGGACCGTGTCACGGGAGGGAAAATGGCCCCGTATCCTGTTCGTACCCCGAGGCAGAGTTCGCAAACCGAGGTAAATTTTTGCGGCTGGAGCTGGCCGTAATCCGAAAAGCTCGTTAACAGAGGCGTTCATAACCTGAGGTACTATTGTATATGCTTAATGTTATATGGCTGAGAAGGGTTGGTTTGCTGCTTGTTTTTATGCCGCATACCACCCAGAGTCACGCCTTTTGAGTTCGGCAGCCTTATAAATCTTGCAAATAGAAAGACAGATTAGTTAGACAGTGGGTGCGTATATATATATATCCCTATCCACATCTCTATAGATATAGATACGGCTCTTCACCCAGACCTTGGGGAGGGAGAGTGAGACCCCCCACCTCATCTATCTTTTACCGTTGTTTTTTATGTTTTATTGATTTTATTGCAATTTCTTTGTTTGATCGTTGTGAGACACCCAAAGTATTTGAGAGGGGGGTGGCATACAAGTTTAATAATGTAAACATATAAATGCATAAAAATGTGGAAGTGAAGATCCACGAATGAGAAACTTGGCCAGTGGACGACAGAAGTTGTGGAAGGAACAGCAGTTGAATGGCCTAAAAAAAAGAGGCAAAAATGAGTCTATCTGGGAGAAAGGGGACCCCTTAATTCACACATTTTTTCCGATTTATAGTCAACCACTTCTTCCAAACAAGAAAGTCCATCCTTCCAAGGAGCTCTATCTAGTTTTCGTCCCTTTCCCCATTTTTCCTCACAGGGATCTCATGAAGTTGGCCAGGCTGAGGGACAGTAATCCCAACACTGCAATCCTGCACCACAAGCCAAGTTTCAACACCTCCGCAACACAATGGCTCCCACCATTTTGAAGACAATTACAGAGAGAAGAGGAAAACTCTGCTTCTTGTCCCTGCTTGACCTCTATACCGGAAAACCCCCAAACTGCCCAGTTTTTGGAAAGAAAGGAAGGAAAGAGAAAAATTCTCCTCTTTTTCTCCATAAAAATAGTTGTATTTTCCATTGCTAAATAAAGGTTACTTTACAAAATTAAGCTAGGACCGTGATAGGTACATTTGCCTGGCACGGTCAGCTTGAATTTGCCTTTAGGAACCCAGCTTGTAAAGAAATTAGGCCTCTTCCCACAACTTCAGCCACCAAGCAAACGAACAATGGTCTGTTTAGTGCCTGCCAGACCTAAGATCCTGGCTAGGATTTTGTTTGCTCTGCTTACAAGTCCTGGCTTGTTTGCCTCCACTTCATATGCTAAATGATGTTTTGTCATCCTAATGCCGGTAGGCCTCTCTCCCCTTGCAGGCCTTCCACCGGCCACGCTGCCCCCCTTGCCAGAATCTTTTTTGTTTCAATTGTTATTTGTGTGTAAATTTATATATTTATTTAATACAGTTTAGAGACTGCCTGACTCCACATGATTCTGGGCACCTTACATTAAAAAAATAAGAACCACCACAACAAAAAAACCCATAAAAATCTGGCCTGCTGCAAAATAAAATACCAGCTGTTAGCATAATTTTTATTTATGGGAATCCCTCTGGGTTCCATATAGCAGTGTTCCTCAACCTTGGCAGCTTGAAGATGTGTGGACTTCAACTCCCAGAATTC